CAAGTGATATCTTGGAAATGTCGTTAAGGCATATTGTGACATTGCACAGGGTCTCAGCACTTCTCAATAAATTCAACAGTCAAAGACAAATTTCTGACGAGGATGAATGGATAAGCCCGCTAATTTCAAAGAGCGGATGGTTGGCGATTTCGAAGAGCAAAAAAAACATTGCAACTAATTTCTACCTCTACTGCAAATGGATCTAGGAATATTTGAGACCGTCGAAAGAGGCCTCACCAATGAATTTTGGAAGACATTCTAAAAGCAGCAAAACCTAGTGATGACACCAATTTTATGACCAGCTTTCCGCAAACTGACTCGAAGCTATGTTTTAAAGTGGGAAGAAAGGGGCATGCTGTTAATGACGACAAATGTGCTGGTAACATAGTATCTCTCACTGAGTCAAGAGCATCTAGTGTAGCCACGGAGACGATGGAAGTGAAAGAGAGGAATAGCGAGGAAGAGCCAATATAGTCTGGCACGTCTTCTGCTAAAGTTGAGAATAAAAATGAGGGCAGAGGGGAGGAAGAGGAAGAAGTAGAGGAAGATGAGATCACTCCTGATGAAGCTTCTAACCTAGCTACCGTAGACTCTTGCAGTGAGAACATTTTACAAACTAAAATGTTGGTTGTTGAATAAAACATCTCCTCCACCTCCTCCTTCTGCTTCTCCTTCTCTGTCAGCCATATCGCCTCCACCCACCGCGACCTCCCCACAAGCATCCACAGCGAGGAGGAGGAGGAGGAGTCAAAAGGGTGAGCTAAAGGAAAAAGACGAGGTGGCTGAGGGAAGTAGACATTAGTGTCCATTTCCACAAATAGAATCCCATGCGCGTGTGAGGTGGCAATGGGCTTTGCTCTGCAGAGAAATTAAGCATGTCATTTACTATGCCTCCTCTCTAATGCCTTTGCTGTCTAGTGGTATATAAACAAATTGTCAGGACAAAACTTTGCCCGATACGCGGCAGTAAGGAGACAACTCGACTGTGTAGTCAAACAAACAGCCGAGTAATTTAATAAAACAATGCCCTTCTATGGACAAAATATTTTAGTAATAGCACTCTTAACAAATCAGCTGCCTTGTTACGCATTACTATGTATGCTATAATATTTTTGGTTAAAATGGAAGGAAAACTATAAATTGTAGCAACAATTTGAGTTCTAGTTTATTATAAATAAGCATTTCTAAAGGTTTAAAAAAAGCCCGCTTCTAGCATAAAATTAAAGTGATATCTATTTACCTACCCTTTGCCTCCCTGTAATATGATGGCTGTCTGGATCTCTGTTTTTGTAAGGAGCCACTCTTGACTTTAGAATTGGCTCTTGTACCACGTCGGGTGGGCTGGTCTTCGGTCCATGCCGGTTGCCCATGTAACTTCTCTATGTCGAATAGATATATATATTCGGGAAACTACATACCTATCTGTCTCTCTCCTTCTATCTATCTAGCTGTTGTTATTAAGGAGACGATGCGCCTTTGTTAGTGAATCGACTTAATGTTTCGATTTGCGCTATCAATAGGCATAAGAGGTAGCCATGCCACCGAATGAATGTGGTCTTAGAATGAAAAATGCAGCTGTGAAACAGTAGATTAGGTGAGACCAGTGGAGTAGAACATTAATGTTTAGTTATTATTATACCAGATAGGCCATTTATATTCATGTTGATAGTGATGTGGTATTAACTGGATTAAGCATCACATCCCGATTGCAATCAATTTCATCTTCATGATAATAAAATAACAGCTGTGCTATTTTAGTTACATTAATAAATCAGGCTGATTTTAGAGTCTAGCGATTGGCAGAAGCTAGACTTTTTTTATCGAAACACTCGGAGAGGCCGAACTACAAAAATCACAACGTATATCAGTCAGATGTGAGATTTTACCAATTACAGAAAAAGTAATCGAGCTCACTGATCTTGATAAGTTAGATATCTGAAGTACGTTTGTCTTTAAAACTGTGCTGTCGAGCAGGCCGCTCGAAGTGCTACTGGAAGTAAGGAAAATGTCATTTACTTCTGATTATGTTGCATGTCATAAGTAGGGTAAACCTGCTCAATCAATTACTAAGAACTAAGGATTTTAAGGCATGTCTCTTGATGCAAAATCGTAAAACTGATGGTCCGCATTCATAGCAGATGCTTTGATGCACTTGTGCTTGCTGTGGTCGTGCCCACCTGACTCACACCAACGGTGGTGTCACACCAAAGCAAGAACAGAGCAGTGAGAGCAACAAAATCAGTGAGTCACTCAATGAAACCATTTGTGGATTGATGATATTGATGCAAACGCACCAGATATCACTTTGCCTGAAGTCCTAGTACGTTTGTGAGTGACCTATAAATGTGATACATTTCAGCGTAGTTCTTCCACTGCAATATAACAGAGGTCAGGTAACAGCGAGTAGTTCATGTTGAGTAAAATATCAAGAGGAAGTGCGTCCATTGTGTGTTTTCTAATAGAATGAAGCAGAGATATCCTGGTGTTTATTTAAGCTGAACAAAAAGGGAGGGGCCAACTTATATGTGAATAGTAGCGGTGAACAACTGAAACTGAGAAGGGGAAATGGATATATGTAGATTACATTCTAAAGCCAACCGAATACTCTTTTCCCTGTCAGTTGTTTGAATGCTTCGTTGTTGTCTCAAGGCGCTCATGGCACCGAGTCCCTCCATATCCAGACTGCCCCCATTTCCTACATACTCTCCTTGGGAGTACCACCGAAGTGCCATCATTTGCCATTTGTTAATGTATCAGAAATGTGACTCGAGACTCTACTGTACCGTCGACTGTCTGTAAGATGGCGAATGCAAAACCCCACAAGTCCTTCATTTAAAAGTCAGCATTAGTAGTCAAGAAGTAAGAAAATAGATCTATTTCTTTGTCACATGACATCTACTGCTTACCCTCACGCTAAAAACATTTCTAAGAGGTGGTTGTCTGGATGGATGGACGGAGGATTTGTTAGGGTGTGGATAGATGGATGCATAAAGGATATGAGATGGATTGATGCATACGGGGTTATTAGTTGGAAAAGTGGATGGACAGATGCATGGTACCGAAATTAATGGAGTTATGCATAGGGGACTGATAGAGAAGGGATAGATGGATGCAACTGGGATGAAGTGCGGATCAAAGGTGATGCATATGAGATATGTGAACGCGTGCCTGATGAATAAATAGATTGACAGACATGTAGTACGAATATGATCGGCTTCCTAGTAAGTAGGTGTATCTGAGACAGATGAAACTGTCAAGGAAGGAATGTGAGAAAAGAGAATGTGAATGATTCTGTGACATGATGCCTGCCAGTTGGGTGGCTCTAGGGCGAGAAGAAAATGGGATGAATGCACGTGCATGCATATACGCATAGTGATCACAGAAAAACAGTGATGTGAAGTGAGGAGAAAAGAGTACTGTCCTACAGTTTTGTAGGAGACTAGTAAAGCCGATTGTCTAAATGGATATAGAACCGAAAAGAAGAATGACATACAAGTGAGTTGGAACAATCAGCCAACTGTGATAATGATTGGGTGAAACCGCAGTCGCAACTGCGAATAAGAGACCTTTGTCGTCAGACTACTGTCTACCGTGTTTGTATCAACAATGCGTAAATATAAGTTTGGTGCTTACAGTAAGTTCTCACAAATTTAGTGCTTACGTACTTTGGTGGCAACAACCACGTTTTCTTCTCAAATTTTGGCTCAAGTAAGTGTGCATTATCTCATGATTGTGATTGCCGATTGAGTTTCACATAGCTGAAGAAAATGCTAATGGATGTCTGGTTCGCCATCACTTCATTTAGATGGAGGAGCTGTCTGCGACAGGTAAGATGAAATTAATTATTAAGAAACCACAATACCTTGAAGCACCTGCAAATTAGTAGTGCCATTGTAACCAGTCCAGACCTGCATTTTATTGTATTTAGGTGATCTGACCGACTTAACTCTTCAGAACACCTCCAGGGTCATTCAAGTCTACTTAAGTATGCTCATGTGAATAAAGGCTGTTGTAAATTTCTCCGTCGTAACCTAATGGACTAATTATTTATTCTTAGGCACTTGTGACACTTAGATGATGTTAAACGGGGTATGAAATGTGCATCTGGAGTAGTATCAACACTAGTGTAGATGAAGATATGGGCAAAAATAACGACAGGTTAACGGGAAATAATGTTGTGAGATTTGCAGCACATATATACATATATAGTCAGGCTAATGAGCAAACTTGCTACATTGAAGTAATCATTCAAACAGCAGATAAAGGAGTCATTTTTCTGCATTTTGCACCTCATAGGACCTGGAGCAATAGAGGCTTTTTAGGGTAAGGCACCTGTTTGCATTTTCGAGACATATTGGTCAAAATGAGTAGTTTGTGAAAATTTTTAGAACGGGGGAGCATTTTAAAACAAATGCTTTGGAGAAACAAGCATTTTTCCCTTTCTTTACATCAATAAAATTTTTACTCATTAATTTTTATTTATTTTTTTCTCCAGTTGAGTTTGTTGCCTTCTTTTTACAAGTTTCGCATGATTTTTATGCAGCATATTTTGCTGCGCACTTTTTAGGACTTGGAGATTATATTTCCAACTTAATTGGCGCCTGCATTTTTGGATACCGCATTTCTGCTTTGGCCAACTTTGCATGGAATGCATGGAATTCATATTGCTACCAATAAAGGATGCCTTTATTCTATCAGTCTACCCGTTCCAAGGTAATAAAGGTCAAGATAGAAAGATAAACACTGAACCTCCTATCCAAAGACAGCTTTTTGGCGGGTGTAGATTACAAAGAATTCTGGAGAGACTATGGTCTCTGCAACACCGTTAAACTAACTTGAGGCGGCAGATATACATTCCAATCCCACAAAAGCGGGACTTATTCGAGATGGATGGTAAAGTGGTAAACAATATTTTGGTAGTGAGTCCAAGGTGAACTGCGAAATGGAAAACATGTTTCGAAATAAGTATAAATAAGCGTTACTTAAATTCAAGGAAAAAGTGAAATATTAAAAGCATTTAGCTATTTGGGGATTTTATTTAAATCGTGGAAAAATTAGGGGGTAATAGCAGGGTGGTTCATAGCCAGAACGGATCAACACTGGCTAGCTGCTGTAGTTGAGAACAGTGATGGGGATAGAACGTTCGGTTGCACGTTGGTACAAGGAGCTGCGACAGTATAATTCCACAGTACAGGTTAGTAAGGGAAGTATGC